CCCATCACGTTCTCTGTCTACATTCGCTCTTCTACAATGGCTCAATCCAACGCCGTCATTTTGGTGATAATGGCTGCCCTCTTGGTGGCCTCAACAAGGGCACAATCCCCTGCATCTTCCCCAGCCAAGTCCCCTGCCTCTGCCCCCTCTCCTTTGAGCACTCCACCCGCCGCCGCTCCTTCTCCTTTGAGCACTCCACCCGCTGCTTCACCTTCTCCTTTGAGTACCTCACCTTCTCCTTCGGGCACTCCACCCTCGGCTGCTCCTTCTACATCTCCGGTCGCAGACTCTCCACCTTCTCCCCCATCGTCTTCTCCTGAATCTCCAGCCACCTCTCCCCCTTCTTCGGTCTCGGGATCCCCCACCGAAGCTCCTGCACCCAACGGTGCAGTTTTGAACAGGTTCTCCCTCGCCGGTTCCGTGGCCGTTGGGGTTTTCGCTGTCGCCATGCTTATGTAAAGAGGGAAAGTACAGCGGGAGTTTTTATGAATTTTAATCATTTGTTTTATTGTATTTAATTTACCATCTGATTAATTCATTCATTTTGTAGTTGTTGATATATATGGGAATAAAAAGAGATACGTTTTTTTGTCATCAGTATTGCAATCTAATTTTTCTTTATTTTATATTAAAAATTATATAATTTTGTGTTTTATTTTAGGGTAGTGCTATGCTTACCACATAATTATACCACATTTTTAATTCCATCTCACGTGGCAGTTGAGGTGGACATCCAACTCATTAAAATTATATATATATTTTTAAAGATATCAGTTGCTTATAATTTTCATTAATTAAAAAAAATTAAAAAACTTAACCCTAGAGACTTTTCAATTTTCACGTTATCTGTTGGCCTCCCCAAATTCCCTCCTTCCTCTTCCTCTCCTCTCCCCTCTCCCCAAATTCCCTCTCTTCCTCTACCGTCGATCCACCACCTCTCCACTCCCTCTACCTTTAATTTTTGGTTAGTCCACCTTTGAGATGATGTCTACAGTCTATGGTCAATGGTAGTTGAGGGGTCATAACACTGCTCCTTGCATCACCAGCTCCGACCACCTCCCATAAACTCTCATAGAAGGACCATTATACCGTGATGATGTTGATCATGATATGGGTCTTGATCAAGCAGATTTGCAGTTGTTATTACATGTGTACTGACCACAAAGCCAAGGAGGAGGGAGTCTTGCGGCGGCGAAGAGGTGATGGATCGGCTGCATAGGTCCGGCAGAGTGCCGCCGATGGGGAGGAGAGGAAGTAGGGAGAGATGGAATTGGGGGAGGCCGACAGACAAGGGTTTAGGGTTATGTTTTTTTCATTAATGAAAATAATAAGAAATTGATATGTCAAAAAAAAAAACTAATATAATTTTAATGAGTTGGATGTCCACCTCAACTGCCATGTGAGATGGTATTAAAATGTGGTATAATTATGTGGTAAGTATAGCATTCACATTCACGTGGAAGGAATTGAACTTAGATTCAAGGAGGTACAGTATCTAACCCACATATGAAAGGTAAAAGTTGGGCCATTGGCTTTTGCACCAGCTATTGCTAACCCCTGTTATTGGATTTGTCTCTGAATTCTCAAGAAATTGAGGTTCAATCTTCATTCATCCAAAAAATCTTCAAGCTCAAGATTGAATGAATTATTAAAAAAAATCGAGAGAAATTGTGTAATTGTTGCCAAATTCACAATTGACGAGAAGTTGAGATTTGAGATTACAAATGAAAAGGCTGTAATGATGAATTAGAATTTTCTTTTTGGAAAATTTTATTATGAAGTAATTTTTTTTCTTCTGATGATAATTAAGTAGTTCAAAGAGGAATCCTCTCATGAGAATGAGAATAAGTTCATTTTATACATCAATGGCTTCGGTCGTCAGTCTAACTAAGTAGTCTTACTCGCTCAACCGCAAGTGGGAGTAAAAACTTCCCCAGTGATCTGTGGCATCATACTTTTGGTGTCTTCCACTGTAGGACCGATGAGTAGTAATAGTCTTTAGAGCAGAGACGATTTGGAGAGAATCACTCTCAAAAATAATATTAGTGAAACCCCTTTCCACCGCCAACACTGCACCCTCTCTGGCAGCCAACGCTTCAACTTGAACTACGGAATAAATATTGTCTACATATAGTGCCCTTATTGCAACAAAATGTCCAGCACAATTCCCACTTCACCCTCTGTGCTCCCCGCTACTAGGGGCCATTAACATTGATTTTTAAACACCCAGACTTCGGTTTAGCAACTTATGTTCCTCCATGCGTGCACGAGCACAAACATTTTGTTTGACATAGACTCGTGCAAACTCAGACAAGTGGACAACAGCACTGTGGCTAGTTCTGTCAGGGGTCGGGTCCTTATTGTGCCACAACTTGTCATTCCTTGCCTCCCAAATTGCCCAACTAGTAGCTAAAAAAATATTAAAGACAGTAGGGGGTGGGCAAGGTTCGGTTTGGACTGATTTTTGCCTCAAATTGAAACCGAATTCAGTACTATTTACTCAGTTCGGTTCAATTCGATTTTAACAAAAAAATTTATAAAATGTCCGGTTCGAGTTGAACCAGTTTCGGTCCGATTTCGGTCTAGTTCGGTTTTGAACCGGATTATTATTATTATTTTTTCATATTATTTTTTTTATACAAATTTCAACTGAAATTTTATTTTTTTGACTTTAAAAATTAACAAATTATTCAATTTCATACAAAAAGAAATATTAAGGCTAGAAAAGAGAGATGTTTTGAAATTGAACTTGGGTAAATATTAGTTATGAGATTAAAAATATAGCATTGTATATAAATAAATATTAAAATTATATTTTTTTTAATTTGGCCAGTTCGGTTCGGCCCGATTCAATTTGTTGAGGTATAGAATCGGAACGGGATCTTGTTAGAACCAATTCGGTTCGGTTTTTTGAATTGGGTTTAACTTTTTTGTCAACACGGTTTTTTTCAGTTTTTCCAGTCTGATTTGATTCAGTTGATCGGTTCTTTGGTTCCATTGCCCACCCCTAAAAGATAACATGAGGTAGCTTTTATGCACATCATAAAAACTAGTATGTTACTCCTTGCTAACGTGACCGCTCGCGGGAACTGCCCAAGGAGGAGCTTGCCCAAACATCACGGCCAAAAGGGCAGTCCTGTAGAATATGAATAACAGACTCCATGAAATTCCCAAAAAAATCACTAGTATCCACATGTACTCTTCATTTGGAAAGGTTTGCTTTAGTGGATAGAATATCTCTACATACTCGCCACCAAAATATTTTGATTTTCCCAGGTACCTTCATTTGGAGAGGCAAATGAATTTAAATTTAGAAATCATGAACAATATCAATACTTGCCTCTAGATTGCTAAATTAGCAAGAACTTATTAGGCTTTAACCATTACAAATTTCAACTTTACATCCATCAGCCATAAGAGTAGCCCAGTATACAAATAAACAATGTTTTGCCTCGCGGTTATATTGGAGAAATCTCCACCGTTCACATCCTTGAAAACCCGTGTCAAACTAGTTCCTCACAATCCAATGGGGACTAGTGTTATACAAGGCAAGCCTGCTCAGCCTTCCTCAATAAAAACCCTACCTCTTCTCTCTATAAACCCATCCCTCGCTTATTCATTTGCCGCTTGATTTCTCTCTCTTTTTGTGGGGCCATGCTCTTTCTGTCTCTCTACAATGGGTCGATTCAGCGGTGTCATTTTGGTGCTAATGGCTTCTCTCTTGCTGGCCTCAATAAGGGCAAGATCCCCTGCATAGTCACCAGCCGAGTCTCCTCACCTTCTCAATTGAGCACAACATCTAAGTCTTCACCTTCTCCTTCTCCCTCTCCAAAAAGCTATCCACCTGAGGCTACTTATTCTACTTAGCCCGCCGCCGGCTCTCAACCTCGTACTTAACTGTTAGCTCTTTGGAGATATTTCCTTCTTTGGACTTTACTTCCAGCCTGATATGATCAAAAAGGGCAATGTCAATTTGAAATTTGGGTTTTCACCACCCACTACTCACGTAACTATTAAATTTCAGAAAGACGGTCCAGCGGTCTACTACTAGCAACACCGATATTGTCCCCAACTTAACCACCTACAAAGCCCAGTATGTATGGGGTTTTATCACAAAAACTCTCAGTACTATTAGGAATTGTGCAACTTATTATATATTGTATTTCATTTAGTCAAGTTTCCGATATACTTATATTTTTCAACTGTAACAAGCTAATTATTAAGCATAAAAACATAATACGTAACAAGCTCCTGCATCCACTACCAATGTTGCCGTTCTGAATAAGTTCATCACCGTCGGATATGTGGCCATTGGGATTTTCGTTGTCGTCTTGGTAATATGATGACGGGCAATTAGGACTTTGAAGGGTTTTATTGATTATTAATTAGGGAGCTTTTGTAATATACCCAAAATAGGAGCTGAAATTATAAAAAAAACCCAACATGGAATGCACTTTAGAAACATACCCAAAAACCATGTACTACATACAAAATGAGTGTTGAATTTCCTATAAATTACATGACTGCCACTAACTAACTTAAAAGAAGCCCAATACAAAAAACACAAATAAAAAACCCAAAACAAGCCCAACCCAGATTTTTTTTTTTTAAACAAACTTAAGTATTAAAAAAAAACACGAAAACCAAGGGCATGTCTCCACGACCCTTCCTTTTCCACCAAATCTGTACAAACAATGTCATTGTTAATACCATGTCATAGAAGTACATTGTTAATACCATGTCATACAGGTACATTGTTAATACCATTTCATAGAAAAACATTGCTAATACCATTTCATACAAAAAGAAAAAACATT